TCTTTTTCCTACCACTCAACTTTCTGTTAACATGCTTGGATACAGCACTCTGTGAACAGCCAGCTTCTTTGGCAATGAATGTTTGTGGCTTACCCTCCTTGTGAAGGGTGTCGATGATTGTCTTCTGGACAACTGTCAGATCAGCAGTCTTCCCCATGATTGTGTAGCCTAGTGAACCAAACTGAGTGACCATTTTGAAGGCTCAGGACACCTTTGCAGGCGTTTTGAGTTGACTAGCTGAGTGGCATGCAATTCTAATTTATTGAGATAGTGATTTGGTGGGTTTTTGTTAAATGTGGGCCAAAATCATCACAATTAAAAGACCCAATGGCTTCAAATACTTCAGTCTGTGTCAGTACTGAATTTATATAATACACGAGTTTCACTATTTGAGTTGAATTACTGAAATAAATGGACTTTTCCACGATATTCTAATTTATTGAGATGCACCTGAATACACCCTGTCTTCCGTCGCCTCTTTGCTGGTTCATTCCGATGTCAGACCCGGACGTTCACCGCGATCTTCGCCTAGCTCATGCTGTCTACTACAGGTTGTCTACGCCGTCTCACCCCATGTTTTCTCCATGTTTCCTGGTTTGTTTTTTCTGTTATGTTCCGCTCTAAGTATTTAGGTTTGGTTTGGCCACCTCTGCGTTTGCAGTGCGCTACTTCTCTGTGTAGCTGACGGCTCACCTGCTCCTCCTCTGGTTCCTGTGTCCCTCCTGTTGCCGGCTCTCCTCCTTCGTCTTCCGGTTCATGTGCCCCTCCTGGTCCCTTCGTCCTCTTGGTTCCCCGGTTGCTCCCTACCTGCTCGGAGCCTGCTCGTCTTCCTGCCAGCCAGCACAACCTGTGTTTGTGGAATAAACTGCTTTCTTTAGTTCCTCTTCCTCTAGTCTGTCTGCTATTGGGGTCCACACCATACACATGCTGCCTGGCCCTAACAGAATGAACCAGCCTTACCCGACCCCAGCAGACACTCGCCGGGAGCTGGGGGGACTCATGTGGGTGAAGGGGTTCCAGCACATGCTGCGCTCACTTAGGGAGGCCCCGTCCCATGAGTACCTCCATCCCCACGCAAGCCCCCGTCCTGCTACTGCTAGGCCCTCCCTCTCTCAGACTCCATGGCCCATCTATCCCTCCATGAGAGCAGGCGTCCTTCACATTTCCCCGGTCTCTGACCATGTTCCAGTGCCCACTGATTTTGACCCCTCACCTTTTTTCCCCCCCGGTACCAGGTTGGCCCTCTGTCCTGGAGGTCCTGGAGCAGGGAAGAGTAGGAAGAGGGGCAGACACCAGCCCGCTCCCCAGCAGCCGCTGCTGCTTTCTGAACCCCAGCCTGGTTCCCCACTGCAGCCTCATTCCCGGCCCGCCCCCAGGCAGTGGCCACCTCGGTCAGCTCTCTGGTCTGGTCACGGTGGCGTCCCCGCTGACTCCCCGTACCCCTGGTGTGCCGACAATGGCGTCTCCGCCAGGGCCCAAAGCAGTCAGTGCGCCGACGCCACCCCAGTTCCAGTACCTGGTCCCGAGAGGCTCAAGGGCCCAAAGCAGTCAGTGCGCCGACGCCACCCCAGTTCCAGTACCTGGTCCCGAGCGGCTCAACCAGCCACCTCAGCCGGCGCCCTGGCAGTGGCCGCCCTGGCCTGATTATGACCATGTCCCCGCTGACTCCCTGAAGCCTTGGTGCGCTGACAAAGATGTCCCCACCAGGGCTGGAGCTAGTCAGTGTGCCGTCAATGGGTCACCGGCCGGACCCTCAGTTTCTGCTCCTGACTCCAGGCGGTTCGGCCGGTGCGCCGATGCCACCTTGGTGTCTGTTCTTGTGTCCGTTCTGGGTCCTGTTCCCAAGTGGGTCGGCCGGGCTGCCACCTCCATTCCTGGCCCTGTACCCGAGCAAGTCTGCTGGCGTGCCGACGCCGCCTTTGTTCCCACTCCAGGTCCTGTTCCCGAGTGGGTCGGTCCCATTCTCGTTCCTGAGCGGGTCAGCCGGCGCGCCTACGCCACCTTTGTTCTGGTGCCTGTTGAACTGCGTCGAAGTCATCCTCCAGAGCAGCCTCCGGAATGTCCTCCCCGGTTCTCGATCTTGTCCGGTTGATGATGGCTGTCGTCTTTTGTTTGTATTTTGTAGTGTGGCTGTGTTCTTTGGTTGCCCGAATTGTTTCCCCGGTCTTTCTCCCTGGGTTTCGTTGGGTTGTCCTGTGTTTGGCCGGTGTTTTTTGTTGGTCGTGGGCTGGGGCCGGTGTTGACGGCCTTGTGGCCGTCTGTTTCCCCGCCTCCCTCCCTGCTCGGCCCTGTTTAGGTTCATCTAGTCTGTCTGCTATTGGGGTCCACACCATACACACGCCGCCCGGCCCTAACACATTCATGTTAAAGGATAGTTTCCAGTTGTTTTTGTAATGGCTTGTATTACATGGTGATAAGATACTGTATATTAGGGCCTATATTGAGGATCCATGCATCTGAGCTGTATGTGTCCATGTTCATTTCAGTAATTTGAAGAGGAAGCGCCCCTGCAAGTAGCAGAAGGGTTGTACTTGATCTCCTCATTAAAACGGGTGTGCTTTGGGCATCGCATGCAATTATCCAATCAATGTGTAACCTCACATCCCCTTTAATAAAGGTGTGAGTTTACACCTTTGGCGGATTGCTAGCCAGGTTGGACATCAGATTTTCCACTGAGTTAATGGATCTGCTTGTGCTTGAGAAGGTGCACGATCACTAATCAAAATGGTATTTATTATAAATACATATATAGTGATGTGCGCAACACCCAATTAACACAATGCCATCTTTTATTTTTTAAGTTTTGCGTGTCCTGCACAGTGAATCCCAGGGTAAATCAAGCACAGTGCACGAGCATTGTGCACAAACCTAGGCAAGCACTCATCACAACAGGTCAACAATCGTTCATCTGGGCACAGCTGCTGGCACAAAGTTCACAGACTGCTGCTTGGTAAAAAGGCAACATGATGCACATGCCATGAAAACAGTATTTGCACAGGTAGGAAATTAGGAAACAGATGCGCTACCCACATCACATTTGTTGCAAGATGGAGCCCCTAGTGTTTTCAATGCAATGCTGTAGTAAACTAAATCATCCTTACCCAGATGGCAGGATGGATGACTCCACTCACTCCAAAAGCTTTTGTCTGCACAATACTTGTGCAATTTGGACCGAATCCTGAAGCAGTCTCTCTCATGAATGGAGGTCAGAGCCAAGCTTGTCTGTTTGGTTAAAATCTGCTTCTGAAAATAATTTTTATTAAAAAAAAGTATAGAAGATGAGACTTGAATTGAGTAAAAGTTAGATTTACAAAGTCAACATTTTCATGTCCAAATCATCTTAAAGCTGAATTAAATATGATTGAGAGAATCAAACAAACACAAAGAATTAACATTGGAAATTACAGAAAATTAGCATGCAAAATTATGAGATGCACTAGTTTAACCTCTAGAGTCCCTGCGTCCTCATATGAGGACCGCACAGCTTGGGTTTCCAAAGCTCAGGACTCTAGAGGTTAAAGAAGATTGTCTTGCAGTTTTAAAATTGTGTTATTATTCGATTCTTCCCTGTATGTGTATTTTGACTCTCACAGCAGTCTAATCCTGTTTACTGTAAGTGGCTCTGCAGTGGCCATCACTCTTGCATTTATTTAAGCTTTTCAAAAACAACTGTAACTGAACCATACTGATGTGATTTTTCCATCAGGCCCCTCTTGATTGTGTTCCACCTCCCATTCTAAGCAGTGTCCAGGAATCCACTCATTAGGATACTCCCAGTGAATTTCCAGCTGCGTGTCTGGAACCGTTTTCAGATGCAGTTTCTCTGTGGTTCCAGGCTTCACTGCATAAACATTCAAACAAGAAGAGACAAGTGATTGTGAGAAAGGGATCATCATGACCACATCAAATTACATCATTGTACTACTCCCAAAGGCAAATATGCATGTACCATGGTTTTGGATTTGCAGGGAGATGAATGTTGGTTTCAGGGTCCCTTCACGAGAGGAGCCATTTAGACAGAAGTTAATATCAGTGAAATCAGGGAGATATGTCCCTGTAAAGTTGCAGCCGACCCTGACTCCACCTGAAATGACGTATTTTGGACATTCCTCTGACTGTTCCAGCTTTTTGTGCCTGAGGAAGAGACAAACCAGATAATACACATAATGTGTTTACAGTTGCCTGTCTTATCCATTAATATTGTTATTTCTTTGCACAGGTAAACAACTGTAGGCGACGTTGAGTAGAAAACTGCTTTATATAAAAGTGTTCTAAACCAGTCTGTGGATTATATGTGTAACTGTAGCACAGTTATAGGAAAGACAATGAACAAATGAAGGTAAAAGGCACAGCTACAGACACACTGCAGCATGAAATGTCTCCTGGGCTTTCAGGTGCAGAAAGGGATTCTATGATTGTCTATGCAAAGTCCAACCAATAGAAGTAGAAATATTGTGTTCAGAACCAAAGGTCCGTGGCTATATGATGTACCAGAAATATAGACTTTGCTCTGAGTTCACTGGCATCTTTGAGCTTCTTCCCCAGTGACACTCCATGTACTCCATGTTATGAAACACGCAGACAAAATCCTGGACAGCAGTACCCACAACACCTGGAGGTAGAAAGGTCCATTTTAAATCATGCATTTCTCAACATAGCCAGGAATTTATTAATGACTTTCTTTGATTTTTTTTTTTTACGTTTTCTATGCGTCTGTAGACCTTGATGACTGACCTGCAGGAGGCTTCTGGATCAGTTCAGTGTAGTTTGTGCTCATGATCATAGTACCATTGGTGCAGGGTCCACTCAGCAAGGTGTATACTTTCACTCTAACATCTTTCATCAGATCAAACTGGGCACTGTATGATCTCCTAGATGTCCTGATGGCCTTCCAATCCAAAAATCATAAACCATTTATTCAGGTTACATTTAGGTGAATTAGCTTTATTACAAAAATCAACAGAGATGCCACATGACAGTAAGACTTGGCTGAGGTTTGTATTGTTTTTAAATCCTGTTTAAGCAGATGCAAAACCCATGTACATCTTCCCCTTCCTCAAAAACTGAGCTGAACTGCAGGATGTTCTCCAAGAATCAACAAGCCTCTGGGCGGTGTAAAACTGAAATTGTATAAACCTGCTGTCTTCCAAATAAAACATATCTTTATGACGTTTCCCTGCCAAACAAAACAGCACATTAAATTTGCATGTAATGAGATAAATAGCTCCCTACACTGCCTGAGGACATGGCTGCGGAAATCATTCCGTCTGTAGCAGTGCTGGGCCTGTGAGCTAATATTTTAATCACTTCAAACAGATCTAGTGTCCTTAACTTAAGGAGAGATCATGCAGATTAGCTTGTCACATAGAGCCTTATTTTAGAGAAGTGTTTACTATACAAAGGTGCATAGATATACTGCTGTTAAATCTGTAATTTCATGTCTGATCTCATTCCTTGCCTCCATTTAATTTACTGTAGCCAATTTTGTTAGTGAGGCAGGGAGGGAATAGACAGGACAAGTGCCTGCATGTAGGATTTGAATACACTGGTAAGCACTTACAGTCCATCTGTTCCTGTATGAGTTGAAGTACTCCACTTGATACAGTACTGGACACTCCGTCATATTGATCAAGCTGGCTGGGGGGCTCCATGTAATCTCGAGATGTCCAAAATGGCCAGGGTCTATTATCACAAGTTCCTCAGGAGGATCCACTGCAGGGGGAAACGATATTTATTAGAGTGTGCTGTGTGTATCTGGCGCAAAATCCTTTTTAATAAGTTCATGTTCAGTCTTTGAATAGCCACACTTTCATTAGGTCATCAGCAACATACATTGCAATTGCTTGGAAGCTACACCTGCTGGCAACCATCCTCCGAGTCTGTTGCTTTTTTATTATGTGCCATGTCAGAAACGACGCGCGATGTGGCCGAAAAGTGTTTAGTGAACTCAATTAAAAGGCCAGACGAGAAAGTGTTGAACAAAAACCGTCTTTTTAATAAGAGAACTAAAATTAAACTAAACAAAACCATACAAGACAAGGTGAAACACAAAGCTCACGGTCGGTATCAGTCCGAGGTCAGAGCCAGCAAACACATACATCCAGGGGAATCCTAAGTTCGCTGGTTTAGTTCGTTTCCACTTTACATTAAGGATTTCCGTTTGTGGTGTGAAGACTGAAGAGTTGCCTGCTATAAATTAAACTGGACCCACCTTTAAGTCCACAGCAATAACTGATGTTCCGCCAGGATATTATGAGCAGCATCAGTGCAGCTATACTCGCCATCAGTCTACCTGGACAACCGAGATTGAAAACACACAATAGGGGCTATAACTGCACCGAGTGAGCTCAATTTCAAATTTGCGTTTAAATTGACATCTAATTTATTTAGCAGATCAGTAAAAGCAAGGAAACATCGTAAAAACTTTGGAGATGTCCAAAATACCATCACAATGCAGTAAACAATGCTGAAACAAAGTGAGCAGCCTTGCCTGTGCGTAAGAGAGCGCGTTTTCCGTCTGTGGGTTCAGGCAGGGTTAAGGAGAATGACCCGGTGTGGCAGGACTGGAACTTTTATATGTTGTTCTTGTGGAAGTCCTGTGGAAGAACCTTGAAAATCTGAATGAAACGGGATACCAGCGCGGTCTTTTCCTCCAAAAATAATGCCTTGTCCTCAGATGTCTCTGGGCGTGAAGGGAGGTGGCAATAATTCAGTCCTTAGCTGAAAGAAACATGGCTTATAGGGATTCCACAGACACATTAAATAAACCAGACAATGGGAATTTCCTGAAAGAGGTGGAGCTTATGGCCAAATTTGATCCAGTGATGAAGCAGCATGTCAGTAGGGTGGAAAGTGGAGCTGGCAGTCATGTACATTATCTTGGCAAAACAATCCAAAATGAACTGATAGACTCCATCAGTTCTAAAATAATAGAACACATTGTGACAGAGATCAAAATATCCAAATATTTCTCCATCATTTTAGACTGCACCCCTGATCTGAGTCATAAGGAACAGCTCTCTGTCATAGTCAGGATAGTGTCACAAGAAGACATTCCTCAAGTAAAAGAGCATTTCTTGGGCTTTCTTGTG